CGTCGCCCCCGGCCCCCGCCATGCGGGGCGTCCAGTCTGGGGAGAGCCAGACCTTGCAGTCAGAAACTGGGAGAGCCTCTGGGCCCCCACAAAGACCCCTGGCACCCCCAAAATTGGTGGTGCTTTTTTTTTTTTGAGAGATTTTCGCTATAGGGCGCCTGCGCTCACCAGACAGACAGAGAGAGACGTAGAGACAGAAAGCGAGAAATCACCCCCCAGGGGGGATGGCCATGCCGCAATCCCTTCTCCTCCATTCTCCTCTTGGGATCTTGGGCACACACGCACACGCGCCCGGCATGAGTTTTAAGCCACCAGGTCCGGAACACGAACCCCGGTTGACTACGTGGGAGTCCAGCGACATAGCCATTACGCCAACTGCTGGTTCCCGGTGGTGCTTTTTGCTTTTTTTTTTTCCTTCTTTTTTATTTATTTATTTATTTTGCCTTAGGGAGCATGCGCTTGCGAGACAGAAACAGAGACAGAGACAGTGAAAAGGAAAGTGAGAAATCACTCCTGCATCCTCAGTGGTGGCCACGCTGCAACCTCTTCTCCGTTCTCCTATCGGGATTTTGGGTATGCATGCACACGTCCCCAAAATGTGTTTTAAGCTGCAGGGACCGGGACTCAAACCACAGTTGACTACGTGGGAGTTCAGGGTTGTAACCATTACACCATCTGTTGGTACCCCCTAAATACGTTCTTTTTTTTTTTAGAGGTTTTTGCTATAGGGCATGGTGCGCTCGCCAGATAGACAGAGAGAGACAGAGAGACAGAAAGCGAGAAATCACCCCCCAGGGGGGATGGCCACGCCACAATCCCTTCTCCTCCATTCTCCTCTCGGGATCTTGGGCACGCACGCACACGCGCCTGGCGTGAGTTTAAGCCACCGGGTGCGGGACGCGAACTGCGGTCGACTATGTGGGAGTCCAGCAACATAGCCATTACGCTAACTGCTGGTCCTGCCCCCCTAAATACCTTTTCTAAAAGTGTATTTGGGCCAACAGTTGGCAAGTCCTAAAAGGCTCTGGACTCCCACACCGGCTGACCAAGGTTGATATCCTGGACCTGGTGGTTTCTTTTTCCAAACCCTTCCTCCACACCCCCCTACCTCCACCCCCATCCCCTGCAAATGAGCACAGGTGCCCTATAGCAAAAACTTAAAATAATAAGTGGGAGAGATTTTAGAGAGAGAGATTTTTGCTGTAGGGCATGTGCGCTCACCAAAGAGACAGAGAGAGACAGAGAGACAGAAAGCGAGAGATCACCCCCAAGGGGGGACAGCCATGCCGCAATCTCTTCCCCTCCATTCTCCTCTCGGGATCTTGGGCACGCACACACACACACACACACACACACACACACACGCCTGGCGTGAGTTTTCGGTTGCCAGGTCTGGGACTCGAACCACAGCTGACTACGTGGGAGTCCAGCGACGTAATCATTTCGCCATCTGCCGGTCCCTGGCTTCTCTTGAGCAGTTATCACCATTGCGCCATGGAGCCACCCTCTAAAGATTTCTCAAATCAGTGGGACCAGCAGTTAGCGTAATGGCTATGTTGCTGAACTCCCATGTAGTTGACCAGGGTTTGAGTCCCGGACCCGGTGGCTTAAACTCACACTCCCTATAGTG